TATTATATTATATTATATTTTGCCAAATTTGAATACCCCAAATTTTGTATAAAATCATATGATTTTGATATTATATAAGTAGATTTTTATTATTTTGGATATTCAAATCTGTCAAATGCCTTTTCCCCTTAGTAATGATTAATATTCACTTGTTTCTTATCTGTTTGATGTCTTTGTGTTTTCTTCAGGGCTCTGTCGGAATTCCTGCCTCCGCTCTTCCTCCTAGCTGCCAGCCCAGTCTATGGCGTACGAGTGATGTCATCAAGAGCCCTAGTTGCTATGATACCACCAAGTGAATATCTGGCAACTGTCCTGCAGTTGGTGGAAAAGCTGCCAGAATCACCGGACGTTGTGTGCTGCCACAACAGACTGCATGGCCAACTCCTACAGATAGCAGCCATACTGGCCCGGGCACTGAAAACTAGCATGTAAGAGTAGAGGAGTGTATCTCATGAAGGAAATGCCACTTTTTGTCATTAGTTTGTCATTATGTTTTGCTGCAGCAGTCATACTCCGTTATCAAATTGCAATCTGACTCTTTTTGTTTAGCAGTCGGTCATCTCTCAGTGAGGTTGTGAGTGAGTTTGAGTGCAGACTGTGGATGGCATCTGTGAGGCAGCGGTGCCCGCTGGTGCGGCTGGCGTATGTGGATATAGTGAGTCCGATAAGAGGCCATTGCTCTAGTGCTTTCCTCACTCAGCTCTCTTCTCAACTGCTGCAGGAGATTCACAGGACTCCAAACATACTAGAGGTGCTTATTCCCGTCCTTTGGAGTGTGCGGTCATGAACATACACAGTAAGAGAAATGTTGATTGTGAATGTTTTGTGTGCTTTAGGTGGGCTCTGCTTCATTCCACCAAAGTGCAGTGAACTTCTTGTGTGGGGATCCTGAGTGGGCGTGTCAGGTATGGCAGCATCTGGCCAATGGCAACGCAGTAGTACGTCTCTCATTGGTCAAGTCTGTAACAGAGGGGCGTGGCTGGAGAGGAACTGTCCTACAGCGGGTTATGGAGAGAGCGCTGCAGGTGAGTATTACTATAGCACTTCACTTTTGCCTCTGTATATGGTCAGTTGATTTTGTGGCCGTTATTGCATAATGACACTTTAATGCAAAGATGCAATAATTATACTGAGATAAACTAAACAGCTTTTTATGTTTAAATAAGTTGCATTCACTATACCATTTAAAGGTTTGAGGGCTATAAGATTTTTAATTTTTTTTTAAACAGCAAACCATTTGTGTTTGAGCCGCTGAGGTCGACTCTGGGCATGTTCTTGTGTTCTGTTTCAGCAAGACATAGTCCAGTGGCCAAAAACATCCATCTAGCTTATTTGTACATAAAGTGAGGTAGATGGACATCTTTGGCCGCTGCATCATGCCTTGCTGCCAATAAGTGGTGCGCTGTTTAAAATGTATCAAATTAAAAACCTTCACATTTTAAAAAATGCATCTTGAGACATTTTGTTAATCGGTGGTCCATCTGGTTGTTTACGAACGCTTCTGTTAATGCCACTTTACTCATTCTGTGCTGCTCAGGCATGAAAACATGCATTCATTTTTTTTTTTACAATTGATTTAACGTTTTAAAATTGCAAGTGTTTGTTTCTAGAACTACTGCTAAAGCTTCACTTTTCACAAATATCATAGGCTGGTAATTTGAGCCGTTCGCAAATGTCAACCAAATACAACTGAAGGAAATTAAAACAATCAAGATCCATTTTATACACTGCCCTGAAATCAGCCTGTAGATCTTCGTGTTGTCGTGTGAGGGCCCGGGGGGCATGTTAGTCATTGTATTCAGTAATCTTTAAAAACACACTGGGTTTGTGCTCAGCCAGGATTTCCGCCCAGCCCTCATGTGAGGTCAGTGAAACTCCAAACTGCTCTACATGTCATGAGAAATTAAATATACCACAATCTTATAATGCTTTTAATTCCCTTCTCATAAGAACTAAAAGATCATGATTGCAAGATTTTTTTTTGGGAATGTCTGGAAAGGGTCTATTCGAATAACAGTCTATCTGTCTATCCCCTGCAGGCCAACCTGAAGAAGGCACTGTTGGACCAGAACCTGGAGTACAGAGGAGCATTCTTGACCGCATTAGTTGAGGTTATGACCCCTGAGGAAGACAGTCTTGCTCTGCCCCGTCCCTGTCTTTCAGGGTTCGAGGAGACATGGCTGCAGGAGTGTGTGGAGGTTCTGTTTACTGATCTGGAGTCAGATAGAGGTGGACCTGTGCTGATCTCCACGGCTCTGTGTGCAGTCAGCCTGCTCCTTTGTCACAGGTAAACTCACCTGTCATGCAGCCAAATCTTAATGTGTTTAGCTTGACGTTATTAGATATTCTTCATGTTCTTTATATTTGTTTGTATTTAATATTTTCTGTGAAAATGCCGATGCATGTTTTACTGTATTTCTATATTTTTCCATATGTTTTTATGAATAGAAGGATTTAATGCATCCTTGTTGAATAAAACTATACATTTCTTTAAAAAAAGAGTGTTTTCGAAAGAGAGTAGACCCCACA